ATAGCAATGTGGAATTTAAGCTAATTGATATTTTCTGTAATTTGTAATTGAGATTTTAGGACACTGATATATACTAGCAGTTTCTGCTTTTGTAATTGATGTTTTCTCTGTTGTTGTTTAGGGTTTGCCTATTGCGGAAGCGATACCTATATATGAGCAACTTCTGCAGTTATTTCCAACAGCTGTAAGTGTTTTTGTCGAGTGTTTTGAATGTGTGTTGAAGAAGTATGTGGTTTTTGATGACGGTTATTTTGATTTGTGTTCAGGCCAAGTTTTGGAAACAGTATGTGGAGGCACACATGGCTGTAAATAACGATGATGCTATCAAACAGATTTTTAGTCGCTGTTTGTTGAACTGTCTTCAAGTTCCTCTCTGGTATGTCATGTTGTACTTTGGTTGTTTCTTTCGTTTTCGTGGTAGCCCTCGTGTTTGTTTCTTGTTTTCAGTTAAATATTTTTCTTATGATAATGGACAAAATACCTTTGAAAAGATATGTGTCTGTGTCAGTGTTGTTTCCGAAATCGACACCGATAGTTGTGAGTAAGTTTAGTTTATTCTTTTTTTCAAATTATTACTGGTGCCGACGTGCCAGTGTCAGTTTCGTGTTTCCGGCATCTGTGCTTCATAGCTTATTAGGTCTTGTCTATTTGTACATGTAAACAATGTTGTTGTTTTAATCTTTCACCTTGTTTCTTATCCTTGCTTACAGGCGGTGTTACATTCGTTTCATTAGAAAAGTTAATGACAGGAAGGGGACAGAAGGTCAAGAAGAGACGAAAAAAGCTTTCGACTTTATGCTCAACTATGTCGGTAAGTTGCTTCTCATTGTCCCATTAGTTTTGTATTTCGGTTTTGTAGTAAATATTTAGGAGACAATGATGGAAACTCGCCTAAGGTGGTTCGGTTCGGTCATGTGAGAAAAATCATAATAGAAGCTCTAGTGAGAGGAAGATTTATCAGGGATTCATCGAGAAAAGTGAATAAAAAGACGGAAGATTGTGTGTTTGTATGCGTGTATCTATATTTGTCCGTATATTGATACATCTTTCTAACGATGTGCTAACAGGAGCAGACATATCATCTGGCCCTGTGTGGATGGAATACATATCCTTTCTAAAATCATTGCCGGTTAGTTAATCTTATGTTTTTTTTGTTGTTGCAATTTTCGGTGCATAATTTGATATCACGTTTCAATTTTTTTCTCGTAAAATTCAATTGCAGTCCATGAATGCACAAGATGAATCACATCGGATGACTGCTATTCGAAAAGTCTATCAGAGGGCTATCATTAATCCTACCCATCAAATTGAACAACTTTGGAAAGACTATGAAAATTTTGAAAATTCCGTCAGTCGTCAGTTGGTAATATACCGGTCTTCATGTCATGCTCGGTTTTTTAATATAAGAAAATTCTAATTCAAAAGACACATGTTCTATACGTTCTGATGATAAGGTGCTTTGCAGGCTAAAGGACTGATATCCGAGTATCAACCAAAATATAATAGTGCAAGAGCAGTTTACCGGGAACGGAAAAAGTATTTTGATGAAATTGATTGGAATATGCTTGCCGTACCACCCACTGGATCCTCAAAGGTAAATTTCTGTTCTTTTGCAAATATTGTGTGCAAAAGAGGCTCTAAATTCTAATACCGTACGTATTATGAGCCAGTTATTCTAAAAGCGTAAGATGTTCGACGAATAAAATTGAACGAATTAGTAGTTTTTATATCTCTTTAATAGTTATAATTTTTCCGTGTTTGTTACTTCTGACAGGAAGAAATGCAGTGGATGGCATGGAAAAAACTTCTATCTTTTGAAAAGTAAGAAGCACGCGTCCTTTTTATCGTCTTGAAGTGATTGTTTGATGAATCTAGTTACTTTCCTCTCATTGATTTATTCGGCGATGTTTCTTAACATTTTGTATTAAACCGTTATTCATTTCAGAGGAAATCCACAGAGAATAGACGCTGCTTCCTCCAACAAACGAGTTTTATTTACTTACGAGCAGGTACAAGGAAATATATTTTTCTTTCCTTTTATCGTCCTTAAAAGTAAAACGCCGCTTCGACGTATTTTACTTTGGTGACATTTATTTATTATATTATTTATGGAATTTCTCACTGCGTTTTACTGGTATTCAGTGTCTGATGTATATGTACCACTATCCTGATATATGGTACGACTATGCTATATGGCACGCTAAAGGTGGCTCGATAGATGCTGCAATTAAAGTATTTCAAAGGTCTCTCAAGGCTCTTCCCGGTTCGTGGAACTTTTCTTTTATTAATTCCGCTTAATTTTCATATTTTTTAATATTGTTTTTATTCACAACATTTTCTCGACTTTCAATTCCTCGTTCTGTCTTTTCATTTGTGAACAGATTCGGAAATGCTACGATATGCGTACGCAGAGCTAGAGGAATCCCGTGGAGCTATCCAGGTATTATTGGTTGGACAAATGTGACGGAAACAATAGCGATTACTGTTATAGGGAATTGTGGGATTTTGAATACATTGTTTGAAAAATTAGAGTCGCAAGAAATTGTTAAATTTTTACTATTGCTCTTGTTAACGTAAAATGTAATTATTCTATTTCATTGTTTTCTTGTTTTATTTCAGGCTGCAAAGAAAATACACGAAAATCTTTTGGGAGACGGTGAAAATGCAACTGCACTTTCACATATTCAAGTACGCTATTTTTCCGGTTCAAGTTCCTAGTCTAATTTATCGGGAATGTTAATAATTTATGCAATTTATTGTAATAGTTGTTGATATATTCAAATATCGGTTTCATGCTACAGTTCATTCGTTTTCTAAGAAGAACTGAAGGTGTTGAAGCTGCAAGGAAGTACTTTCTCGATGCTCGCAAATCCCCGACTTGTTCATATCATGTTTACGTGGCTTATGCGTCCGTCGCCTTCTGTCTCGACAAGGATCCTAAGGTCTTACCTTGCTTACCTGTTCTACCGTTGGAATCTTATACTTTTTAACTTCTAGAAAATTAATTCGGAATATCGTTCCAGATGGCTCATAATGTTTTTGAAGCCGGATTAAAACGCTTTATGCATGAGCCGGTCTATATTCTCGAGTGAGTTCTACTTTCTCCCATTTCTGATTAATCTTGTCGCTTAACTCCTCTGAAATATAGTATTAGTTTTTAAATCTTATACCGCTCGTTGTTTCAGATATGCTGATTTCTTGACACGTTTGAACGATGACCAAAATATACGCGCTTTATTCGAGAGGGCATTGAGTTCACTTCCTCCAGAGAAATCGGTTGAGGTATATTCAGTTGCAGAATATTGAGTAGTTGTATTTTTACGTTGAATTTGCTCGTAACTAGTAACTAATCTCGGTCGCAGATTTGGAAAAGATTCGTTCAATTTGAGCAAACTTACGGGGATCTTTCCAGCATGCTCAAGGTAGTATAGTACTCTATGGATTTCGATTAAACCGATGCTTATTCCAGTTGAATAAACTTCACGAAAATCAATTATAACGTGTTTCGATGATTTATCTTTGTATCATATCTAGGTTGAGCAAAGGAGAAAAGAAGCGTTTGGCGAAGATGCAACAACAGCATCGGAGAGTTCTCTGCAAGACGTTGTATCCCGTTATAGTTTCATGGATCTATGGCCGTGCTCTTCTAATGACCTCGATCATTTATCCCGACAAGAGGTAGAATTTTTCTGTTTTTCACGAATTCTTCTGTTATATTTGTGTCCTATATAGTAATTCATTTTAATTTCGACGTTTTTAGTGGCTTGCTAAAAATCTCAATAAGAAGGTCGAGAAGTCTATTATTCCTAACGGCATGACTCTTACAGGTATTTTACTCATTCTCGCATTCGGTTTCTCAATATTTCTTATTACACGGTTAACGATACACTATTAATGCAGAAAAGGGATCTGTTGCGAACATTTCTAATACGTCGTCAAAGGTTGTCTATCCCGATACTTCAAAGATGTTGATATACGATCCAAAGCAGAATCCGGGTACCGGTGCTAACACAAATGCATTTGATGAAATTCTTAAAGCTACACCGCCTGCATTGGTTGCATTTTTAGCAAACCTACCCGCAGTCGATGGTACATTTTCAATATTTCTGTTAACTACGATTTCGGATCAATCACAGTATATTCTTTTCGCAATTTTATCAGTATCGGATATATATCGCACACCTATAACTGTGTTTTAAAATATGCGCAGGTCCAACTCCAAATGTGGATATCGTGCTATCGATTTGCTTGCAGAACGACCTTCCAATCGGACAAAGTGGTAAAACCGGAATTCCATCGCAATTGCCCGGAGGTTCTGCTCCTGCTACAAGTGAACTTTCCGGTTCAAGCAAGTCTCATCCTGTTCAAAGTGGTTTGTCGCATAAACCAACCGGTCGAAAGCATTACGGGAAAAGAAAAGAATTCAACAGTATGTGCATAATCCATTTTGATTTTACTTTTTTCTTACATTTATAAAATAATCCATTTTCTGGCTTATTTGATTGATACATGTTATTACAATGTTTAGGACAAGAAGATGATGACACTACATCTGTCCAAAGCCAACCACCTCCTCGCGACGCGTTCCGTATACGACAGTTTCAGAAAGCTCGAGCAAACAGCACATCACAAACCGGATCGGTTTCATATGGAAGTGCACTTTCTGGCGATTTATCCGGCAGCACCGGTTGACATAACATTTCAAATCACTTCTCCCTTGCTAAAAACTTATTCACACCTTGTTACTTGGCTTCCAAGCAACCTCACGATATTCTTTGGACTCTGCACTCTTTTTCCGTTCATCAAGGTTTTATCCCACTGGGTTTTCCTCGATAAGGTTTTTAACGAGGCAAGTCATACCTACCTTGAGTTTCGGTCTGGTCCCCTCAAGGAATATGTAAATACGATCCAAATTAATCTAAATCTTATGTTATATTTCAAATTTTGCTTATATAAAAATATATAAATTATTATAAAATTTTGATATATATTACATTACATTACATGATGGTGCATGGTGCATGAACATTATCATCACTAAAGAGAAAAACAGTTTCATCAGGAACAGTTGAGTAAACTTGATCAGGAAAATATCCATGAACACTTTCATTGAAACCATGTCTGTAATAGTTATAAGAAGACTTGAATGTTGATTCATCCAAATATTGTGAAGCATATGGATAATATTCAGTGTCATAAGGAAATGGCCAATATTCAGCTTTTCTTCCTGTTCTTCTCACAGTTTTCAATACTTTACTTTTTTCTACATAGCCTGTTACTGTTACCTTCTGGTTTTCCATGTCTATCTCCAAACTATCAACACCTGCATGCATGCATATTAACCGTCTATTATGATCCTACAAAGCTCGAGGGACTAATCTCTGCAATTACGGAGAATATCCGATTTTTATAAAAAAAATGAAATGGGAAATGGTTTCTTGCCATTTAGTTTGGAGATGGCCCTTGTTATTCTTTCTTCACATCCTTGGCAATCCATATGCACCTTAAGTTCCACAATCTACACCAACATAAAAGCATAGTTATATGAACTCACATTTGATTTTAGGTTGTTATTAAAAAAAAACATACTAAGTGAATAAAGGAAGTGAGACTTACAGACAAAGTACTAGGAGTTCTTGTTTTGGAAGGTCTCCACCCTAACATGTTATACATATTGTTGGGAATACTAGGAATGCTTGTCTCAATTTCCCTATTTATATAACATCTCAAACAACATTGTACTTCCAATACTCCTATTGTTATAGATATAACCACTAATCAATTATCATATATGCATGTGTCTAATTAATTAAAAAAAAAAGTAATATAGATTTTGGAATCACAAGAATATATTGTTAGGACTCCTAAGTACTTAGGAGAATCTATACTCAAATTTATTCCCTCATTATTAAAATTTAAATATAAGTTGTTTGTTATGAAGTAAAAATGTTCATTTCAAATTTATTTATTATAAACTAAGAAATTAATTTTGATAGTAGTTTAAATATTTTAACATAATAAAAATTTAGATAGTTTTAAAAATATTTAATTATAATTTTGATTGCTCTATTTTATCTGATCTGATATATAAAAATAATCTTCAGTTTTAATTCAAAAAATTTTAGTCTCCTTATTACATTTTTCTACTTAAAGAAAAGATATATCCATTTTACAAATTATTATATAAGAATTTTTTGTGTATTTAAAAATCCAAAATATAAATCACACATCATTAAAAAAATGGACACATAATTAATTTAAAGTGATGAACGTGATAGATAAATTAAAATTGTTTGAATTTAAAAATGAAAATTAATTTAATGAATGAGATATAATAAAGAGATCAAATCTTTAATTAAAGCTTTAAGTTTTTTAAAAATTATATCATATATATTTTATTTTAATATAAAAAGAAGAAACATTTAAAATATCATTTTATAGAAGGTGGTTTCTTTGTCTATTTGAGTTTGTATTCAGCAGTAGGGGCTGCCTCATAGTCGTTTGTGGCTTCTAGAGCCCAGTCTTAAATGTTATAAGATCATATATTGAGAGACAGTGAGGTATATGATATGAATCTTGATTTCGGCAGAACTTTGGATAGTTTTAGTGTTGTGATTTCAGATTTTGACCTTAACAGTTTTATTAGAAAGGACATTGTCCCTCCTAAAGCTCAACATGTTTTGGTGAGTGCCTTTTTTAGTAAGTGGTTAGGACATGGATGTACAATTTGACATGACCACAAGACAAAAAGCAGTATTTGGTTGTTTGCAAGCAGCGCGTGCTTAAAAATTTCTCCTTGCTATCCCTATTGAGTTTAGGCCAACATATGTTTCTGGTAGAGTATTGTACCATTCTTAAATACCGACTTATGATTCTCTTATTTTCTACTGATGAGATTTGTCCTATTTGCCACAAGGCGTGTTATGATACATTAGGGGAACACGCTATTCATTAATTGCAAGGAACTTTTGAAATTCAAATCCTGACATGACCTTGTTAAGAATGTCCTATTTCATATATTTAAGTGGCTAATGACTTCTCAAAGTCAGTTTAAGTAAAGTGACAAATAAGAAAACTTGTTTCAACGATTAACATGCTTTCATACTATTTGTTTTTGACACTTTTGATTTTCTAACATCATAAACCGTTGATCTTTTACATAGAGCGCAAAAACTCATGCATGACAATGTTGTGTCACCTAAGACAATAAATGTAACATTTAACATTATTGATTTTGTCATAAAAAAAATAGCAGTGCAACTAGTTGCTCGTTTGCCCGCTACTTATATATATTGCAATTACTTCAGTTTAAGGTTCATGAATTAAATTTTTTTTATAGAAAATTATTTAAATTAATTATATATATATATTTTTTCAACAAAAGTATATGAATCTATAATTTAAAAAAAAAAAAAAGCTTAACAGAACTCCAAAATCTTATTATTTTTCAAACTTGAAATAAATTTCTCTTGAAAGAACCTGAAATAAGTTTATTTTTGAGGTTGCTTGTTGCATTCTTAATATTATTCTTGAAATCTTAACGTATTATATATTATAATAAAGTTCATCTAAAACATATATAATGTACAAAAAAAATCCTATTTAAATTTTAAAATTCAAACACAAAAGAATTACCGAAACCCTAAACATATTTATGCATTAGGTGCATCCAATTATAAATTTCAAACAAGACAAAATGAATATTTATAAAAATGTAAGAGTTTGCAAGTAATACAAGGTATAATAAAAATATCTTTAAACCGGTTCAATTATTCTAAATATCATTTTTAGGCTTAACAAACGACGATATAAAAAATTAAAAATTTCAAGTTTTTCATCCTCTAACTTTTGTGTGTGTGCTCAAAATAGAATAACATAAAGTTTATATTGAACATGTGATTTTTGTTGTGCTATTTTAGGTTTGGTGCTCCTTTCTTGTCATAAATTTATTCTTCTTTTATATTTGAGGGGACATTAAAGTTGAAATAAAGTTGGTGATGACATATGTATGTCTCATGATCATGTCTGGTTTTCACAAACCCAATCTTCCACCATTGGCAATGGCATATGCTTACATATTAACTAATGGTTCTACCATTTTCACCATCACTCGTACACATTATCATATCAAAATCGATTTTGGGCAACTTGCTTTTCAAAACTCACGAATATTCCCAAACATATGGTACCCTTATCTATTTCCTTAGTTTTTATTATTATTATAATTGTAAGCTAAATAAATTTTTTTTAATCTATAATTAGTTGGTCCAGTGGTCGGTGATTATTTGCTCTGATCTTTACTAAATTAATAAAAGAACGAAAAATACTGTTCTTATACAAATCTCCAGGCATACATCATATTTTACTGTTTACCAATAGGTGAAAAATAAAATATTATGATAATATTTTAAAAATAATATAAAAGAATATTTTTTATATTTTAAAATTAAATAATATTGATATAAAATTACGTGATTAATCAATTTCATAACTTTATTAAAAAATATTTTATATTTTATTAACCAATTTTATTTATTATTAAAAAATATTTTTAATATCTAAATGTTTATTAATCAATTTTATAATTTTATTATTTAACTTTTTATTTTTTATTAATCAATTTTTGTTTACTATTAAAAATTATTTTTAATATCTAAATGTTTATTAATCAATTTCGTTACTTCATTAATCAATTTTTTATATTTTATTAATTAATTTTTTTTCAATATTTTAAAATTAATGTTCACAAATATTATTTATGGAAGTAGTGTTCACACATTATTTATATATTTTATATAAAAAGTTAGTTTTTATTTAAAACATACTGTTTATTGTATAAATACAATGTATATATTGTGTATGTATTTGGTGTAGAAAATAGTTTAGAAGTAGCAAAGGAATATAGTTTTTTTCTTTGTCAACATTATAGAATTTAGAGTAGACAAGGAACACGAAATGTAGAGTCTATAACTAAGGTATTATATTCTCACTAGTGTGTAAAATTTTAATGTTTGTAACTTTATTTGTTGGATATACATGAATACTTACACATATTTATTTTGAAAAAGATAAAATAAAAAAATTAATTAATTCAATCAAAAAGTCTCATCAAAGACTATCCAAAAGGAAATGAAAAAAAAAAACAATTACTTTTAATAATAGAATAATAAATGTTAGATGCATTGTTACTTCACCAACTAGACTACTTCAAAATACTTTCAAATCTCTTTGCAAAGAGAAACATGTTCTCCAATATTATTTAGAAGAATGTGTGAAATTCATAATTACTGTTGAATACAGCTTTAAATATGATAAAAAAAACTGACACTCATATATATATATATATATATATATATATATATATATATATATATATATATATATATATATATATATATATATATATATATGTGTGTGTGTGTGTGTGTGTGTGTGTGTGTGTGTGTGTGTGTGTGTGTGTGTGTGTGTGTGTGTGTGTGTGTGTGTGTGTGTGTGTGTATGTGTGTGTGAAACTCATAATCAGTGTTGAAGACAACTTTAAATATGATAAAAAAAACTGACACTCATATATATATATATATATATATATATATATATATATATATATATATATATATATATATATATATATATATATATATATATATATATATATATATATATATATATATATATATATATATATATATATATATATATATATATATATATATATATATATATATATATATATATATATATATATATATATATATATATATATATATATATATATATATATATATATATATATATATATATATATATATATATATATATATATATATATATATATATATAATGTTAGATGCATTGTTACTTCACCAACTAGACGACTTCAAAATACTTTTTAAATCTCTTTGCAAAGAGAAACACGTTCTCCAATGTTATTTAGAAGAATGTGTGAAACTCATAATCACTGTTGAACACAACTTCAAATATGATAAAAAAACTGACACTCAAATATATATATATATATATATATATATATATATATATATATATATATATATATATATATATATATATATATATATATATATATATATATATATATATATATATATATATATATATATATATATATATATATATATATATATATATATATATATATATATTATCAACTCATCTTGCACAAAACTACTGTGTCATATGTAAATTGAAAGTCTGAGACTCTAAAGTATGAGTCTATGCCGATCATATAACTCGTAAAAAGACTTATATTAACAAAAGTTTTTAATAGGTTACAAATGAACTAGGTGCAATTAGAGTATTATTTTAAAAAAGTGTTGTCAAAATTGAGCATTAATATAACTTCATATTATTCGAGATAGTACGACTCCGTGTCTAGACAGTGTATACAACACATTACGAAGGAGTTGGAGCGAGTAAAAAGAGTTGGTGCAGATAAAGTTACATGTGGATGGTATATTTTAAGAGAACACATGGGTTACCTTGTGTCTGTGTGAACTTGTAAATCTTCAAATACAAGGTGATATTGTTCAATTGGAATCCATTCATGTGTTATGGAGTAAATTACACATTGAAGAGTATGAATTCATTAAAGAAAGGTGTGAGACACTATTGAACTTAGAAGATGAATGTGAAGAGTTGAAGAATTATTTTAGCAC